CCAGATGGGATCATCTAGTTGCAGGAAAACATGCTCAGGGCTCCCACTGTTTCTGCATTATGGTGACTTGTATAATTATTTCAGTATATTTTACAATGTAATAACAATAGAAATAAAGTGCACAATAAACGTAATGTGCCTCAGTGGTTAAGAATCCGCCTGCCAATGCAGGGGACATGGGTTCGAGTCCTGGTCCAGGAAGATCCCACATGCCAAGGAGCAACTAAGCCTGTGCGCCACAACTACTGAGCCCACGTGCCTAGAGCCTGTACTCTGCAACAAGAGAAGCCACCACAATGAGAAGCCCGCGCACCGCAACGAAGAGTAGCCCCGGCTCACCAGAACTAGAGAAAGCCCACGCGCAGCAACGAAGACCCAACATACTCTAAATAAATTAATTAATTTTTTTAAAAAAATGTAATGCTCCTGAATCATCCTGAAACCATTCCCTACTGTCCCCCGACCCCATCCATGGAAAAATTGTCTTCCATGAAACCGGTCCCTGGTGCCAAAAAGGTTGGGGACCACTGCTCTATAAAGACTGCAAACTCATTATACTTTTAAAGATTTTCATAATGCAACCCCAAAATGCTACTTTTCACTACTCTTCTCTAAGACCCTTCTACTCCTAACAGACAACTGTGAGCTGGAGTTTAGACAGGTGACTGAGTTAAGGAAGATATTCTATCTGAAAAAAGGAGTTGTGACAGTCACACTGGGGAAGTTGGAGAATACACAAACTTCCAGGAGTTTTTCTCAGAAGATCTCTAATTCTAATTCAGGAAGGAGAAAATATCCTAGGAATAAGATCTACTGGGCAGTGAGGGGAAGGGGTTTTGACTCATAGCTTCTCAAAGGCAACAAGATCTGGGCTCTAGCCCTATCAGTGAACACTTGAAGACTCCAGGACACAGAACATTATAAAGTGCTGCACCATGAGGGCAGAGTGATCCAGACCAAAACATCCTGATGGCACAGTTCACCTCTTGTCTGAGATGAACCTATTCATTCCATCTTATATGCATAATGTGGCAACAGAACTCTGGAGCATCCTGAGTCATTAAGTCAATTACCTGCTGAAAAAGGCTGGGCCAAATATCTCTGTCAAAAAATAAGGACACTAATTATAAGACCACTTGTTGGTAGTTTGGAAAGCAGAAAGTCCTGCCAAAAGACACACTGCCTATGCCTAAGGATAAGCTGAGGTCCACTTAGTTTTCTTCTTCTTTTTCTAGTGAAGAAATTGGTTTTAATTATATGAGAAGTAGATGCTCATTGCTGAATTTTCTTAAGAAATAAGCAAAAATAAGGAAATAAAAATTGCCAAAATTCTCTCCCGAGAAAACCACTTTTGGAATTTTGGTATATACTATTTCAGACTTCTTATAGCTGTGGAATATGTGCACAACGACACGTGTACAAGGACGGGCACGAGTGTATGCAATTAAGAAAAACTGAACTGGACTTCCCTGGTGGCACAGTGGTTAAGAGTCCACCTGTCAATGCAGGGGACACGGGTTTGATCCCTGGTCCAGGAAGGTCCCACATGCTGCGTAGCAACTAAGCCTGTGTGCCACAACTACTAAGCCTGTGTGCCACAACTACTGAAGCCCAAGCACCTAAAGCCTGTGCTCCGCAACAAGAGAAGCCACTGCAATGAGAAGCCCATGCACTGCAACGAAGAGTAGCCCCCGCTCGCCACAACTAGAGAAAGCCTGCGTGCAGCAACGAAGACCCAACATAGGAAGGAAGGGAGCTGGGGGAGGCGGGCGGAGGAAGAAAGGAAGGAAGGGAGGCAGAGAGGGAAGGAGGGAGGAAGGAAGGAAGATTGAACCAATCTAAATGTTCATCACCAGGACACTAGTTATATTAAAAATCTGTATGGATATTCACACACACTTTTACTTACTTATGTTGCTTCATAAGTGACTTTTCCATTTAACAAGTTCCATTCAATAAGTTGTATGAAATAACAGCACAATAACATTTTTTCCCTGACTGGCAAAAGTTAAAAATCATGTATATAATAAGTACTGGTGAGGATCCAGGGAAAGGGTATTTTAGTGCTTCATACAACAACAAAAACCAAAAAAGCTTTTGTTGGTTTTGAAACAACAAAAACCAAAAAAGCTTGTTTCAGGTGGGAATGTGGTCAGCTGTTTCCTCTGTACCATGTACATTAGATTTGAATTTCTTTTTCTTTTTTTTGGCCGTGCTGCACAGCATGCAGGATCTTAGTACATCAGCTAGGGATTGAACCCATGCCCCCTGAGTGGAAGCGTGGAGTCTTAACCACTGGACTGCCAGGGAAGTTCCTGATTTGAATTTCAATTCCAGTGTTATCATCCTCCATTTCCTTGCTACACTTTCATCTTTGTTGGCCAATTCCCTCTTTCAGTGATCCATCTTTGTAAAATGTCATGTGGATGTATAGCCGGGAGACCAGGAGGCAAGACGACTGCACGCTCTGAATCACTGAATAGCAGATGTGCAGTGACCAGTCACCAGGAGAATTTGAAAAGAGTGACATGATTGGTCACTGCATGAGCATCTGTTATTTGCACAGTGATTTGTGAACTGAAGAGCTAGCAGGGAACTTGTACTTTATGCAGTTATGCATGTAACATACTGTGGTAACAGAAATCTGAACCTGCTGAGGGACTGGTGTTACTAACTAAACCATGGTAAGTGAAATGTGTGTATATCAGAACTGTGCAGAGTGAGGACTGCCAGTACCATGCAGCCATTAAAGAAAACAAAGATCTATATAAACAGACAGGAAGAGATCTCTAAAGCATTGTTAAATACAAAAATAATGTCTCAGAACATTATATAAAATATGTCCCATTAATGTAAGGAATATTTTTATATGTATGTATATAAATTGGGTTTATTCGTTCAAAAAATACTTATGGAGTACCTACACCATGACTGGCATTGTTCTAGGCACAAGTCACAGCAGTGAAGAAAATATGTAAGGTTTCTGTCCCCTTGGAGCTTAAAAGTCTTGTCAGGGTGACAGATAAAAAGTAAACGAATAAACAGTAAGATAAATGCAAATAGTGGTAAGTGCCTCTATAAAGAAAATAAAATAAGGTGATATGCTTCACTAAAGAGTGACAGAGGGGGAATTCCCCGGCAGTCCAGTGATTAGGACTGTGTGCTATCACTGCCAAGGGCCTGGGTTCAATCTCTGGTTGAGGAACTAAGATCCCACAAGCCACGTGGCTCAGCTGGGGAAAAAAAAAAAAAAAAGAAGAGGGACACTGAATTATTGATTGGCAGGGAAATTTTATTTATATACAAAGCTGATATGCCAGGGTCATTGAATTACATCTTATAAAGGAGATCAAATCAAGAACATCAAGGGTTCCTTGAGGCTAATACTAGTAGCACCCCGGACGTGGGTGCACGCCTCTCTGACACAGCCGTGCTGAACTCATGTTGAGAATTGTGGCCATCTTGAAAGGCACTTGCTCCATATGGAACACTGTGGGCAGATGGGTTTCCATCCAGCTTGCTGCTTAATATTAGGTGTCCATTGTTCTCTGAAGCAAGGGACAGCTGTCCCTCATGAATGTGAGAGGGAAATAATGACCCTTCCAATCCATATTCATCCTCAGATGTAATGATCTGAACTGGGTACATGAGCATCAGTGTCACTTAGTGAAAAGAACACCAACTCTGGAGTTCAAACCCCAGCTATGCCGCTTGGTTTTATGACCTTGAGAAAGTTAACTAACCTCTTCGATCCTCAGTTTCCTCTGCTGTAAAGTAAAGGTCTCTTCCTAGCATTTTTTCATGATGATTACAGATAATATAGATAAAGTATTTAGCCCGAACCCGCGTCCCCTGCATCGGCAGGCGGACTCTCAACCACTGCACCACCAGGGAAGCCCGAGGGATGCTATTTTAGATGAGAGTGGTCAGAGAAGGCCTCTCTGAGAAAGTGACATTGAAGATGGGAACTAAAATAGGAGCCAGTCATGTTTATACAAAACCACCTTAAATTTTTTATGAAACAATACAGAGAACATGCAATTAAACTCTAACAGCGCATATAGCAGGTCGGGACAGAGTCTATGAAGATACAGAGATATCACAGGAAGAAGAGGTCTTAAAGAGTTTGGCTCCTTTAGAAAACGGTACACAGAAAAGGGATACAGGATGAGCTGAATTAAAGCCCAAGGTACCTACATGTACAGATAAGACCCATCTTTTCAAATAAACAATCAGGAAGGAGAGAACAGACTTGGCAATTTCCAAGAAAAAGTCAAAAGCAGTGTCCCAGCATCTGTTACAGGCAGAAAGTCTCAGACTGAAGGCTTTGATTCCAATAACTGGAATTCCTGGAAGAGTGGGCAGTCAACTCAAGCAGCTCAGTGGAGATTCTAAGAGGTATACTCTCTGTCTCTGTTGAAAGTATCTGCTAAGCATGTGTGGCACAGGGTATCTGCTTAGCGTGAGTTCAACATAATTCATGCTTCCGCTTTCATAGAGTTGTTCCCAAGAAGCAGCTGCCTACCAGAGACTACATTACCCAGCTCTCTTGCATCTGAGACTAAATGACTGGCTCACCAATGAAATGTGAACGCAAAGGACAGGTATCACTTTGGAGCCAAGGGAGTTAAGAAGAGGATGTACTTTCTCCACCCTCTCATTCCATCTGCCTGTTGGATGCAGAGAACTTAGGGGCACTTAGGGAATGGCAGAGCCATATAAGAAGAGACTGGGTCTCTGACTTACCACATAAAAGGATGTCACCTGCTGACACCCAAAATACGCACACTGGGTTATTATGTGATTAAGAAATAAACTATTGTAATAAGCCATTGAAATTCTGGGGTTTGCTACAGTAACTTGCATTATGCTAACACAGGTCAACAAGGACTGCAGAGACAGAGAAGCCTAATAACGGTAGGAGCCAAAAAATTAACTTTAGTAGAAAGCTGGCCAAGGAAAAAGAAAGACTGACAAATATATGCTAATGAATGACATACCTCATATTCTGGTCCAAAGCCAGCATAGCCACAGAACCGCCCAGAGAGTCTCCAGAGATAAGGGATTCCTCCAAAGAGAAGAATAAGCTATAAAACAAAGCACATGTTGGTCACATTGAAGCAGTACTAGAAACTATCATATGAAAGTATGTTAAAAAAACAGAGAGATCTTATTTAGGATAAAATATGCATTTAGACAGATACAAACCAATTGAGATACTAAGTTTAGACTGTTAAAAGGTTTTTGCCTGTACACTTTATATGGATGAACTGTATGATTTGTTAATTTACCTCAATAAAGCTGTTTAGAGAAAAAAAAAAAAACTTTTGTCAAAAGACCTTAATAATCAGGAACTAAGCTTAGAAAGGCTAAGCAACGTGTCAAAAATCCCACAGCTAACAAGTTAAAGAAATGTAATTTGAGCCAGGCTTTATGGCTCTATAGCTGGCTTTTCCTTGAAAGGAAATAGCCTCTTGGTTAGGACAAAGTATTAGTATCGGTATAAGTACAGAGTCATGTCCACCTACCTTGTTGGGGGACAGAATGAGCTATCAGAGCCTTCTCTGGGTCAGGAAAAAGTGAATCCTGAGGTAGGAGTCAGGGTATCATAGGAGTAAGGCACTTTCTCAGCACCACCCTTTGTCTTGGGCAGATAAAGCGAACACAGATATTCACCAAACCAATAAGACATATGAACGAGGGAGCAGCTCTTAAAATGTGAAAAGAATACATGCTTACAAAACACGACTTCTCACAACAGATACCAAGTTCGTGGAATCATTTTGCTCAGAGGAGTCAACGTACTGTTTCTTCACTTGTGGAGCCCCGGGAACACAATGATCACACTCCTTGGTTAGAAGCACAATATTCCCATCCGTTCAGACATGGTTCCTTGTGGCTTTGAGGGTTTTGGGCACTATCATATATTTCTTAGGTGTCCTTCCAATCTACTTTCCATTTTTATATATGTATCCATAAATAATAAAGCAGTTTACATATGCTTTTTAAGAATATATATATATACACACACACACACACACACACACACACACACACACACACAGGCAGGGACTTCCCTGGTGGCGCAGTGGTTAAGAATCAGCCTGCCAATGCAGGGGACACGGTTTGAGCCCTGGTCTGGGAAGATACCACATGCTGCGGAGCAACTAAGCCCGTGCGCCACTACTACTGAGCCTGCGCTCTCAGCCCACGAGCCACAACTACTGAGCCTGCATGCCACAACTACTGAAGCCCAAGCACCTAGAGCCCGTGCTCCGTAACAAGAGAAGCCACTGCAATGAGAAGCCTGCGCACCACAATAAAGAGTAGCCCCTGCTCACCACAACTAGAGAAAGCCCGTGCGCAGCAAGGAAGACCCAACGCAGCCAAACATAAATAAACAAATAAATTTATTTTTTTAAAAAATTTAAAAAATATATATATACACACATATAAATGACATCATATTGTATTTATCATTCTACAACTTACTTTTTACACTCTACATCTTTTTAGACCAATATATGGTGAGTTTTAACTCTATTTAGCATTATCAGCTTTTTCTTTAAAGTGTTTACGTCAATTTACACTCCCATTAGCCATACTTGAGCATTCCTATTTCCCCACAATCACACTCATACTTGATGCTATTCATCTCTTAGACTTTTACCAGTATGCAGGGGATTGACACAATACCATGGGTCGCAAATATGGTCTCTGGACAGCAGCATCAGCGTCGCTGGGAACATGCTAGAAATGAAAAGTCTCAGCCTCCACTCCAGAACTACTGAATCAGAAACTGGAAGTGGGGCCCAAGAGTCAGTCTCCAGTTAAATGTGATGTACACCAAAGTTTGAAAATCACTGTTTTAATACACTGCCTTTTTAAAGGCCCCTTAACTCTACATCCAGCTATTTCCACTTTACTTTAACTAACTCAATCTTGGATATAAACTGTTTTCCCAGAAGACATGCTTTGGCACCACTGTATGTGGTATATGCTCCACTTGTTGAACTAATTGACTTGGGATGGCATTTCCTTCATCCTATTCTCCATACTAATAAATAATGCAGAATTAAGGATTTATAATGCTTTGGGGGAAAGGCTGGAACACCTACTATTGAAAGTCCAGCTTTTTTGTTTTTTTTTTTTGGCTGCGTTGGGTCTTCTTTGCTGCACGTGGGCTTTCTCTAGTTGCGGCGAGTGGGGGCTACTCTTCGTTGTGGTGTGCGGGCTTCTCATTGCGGTGGCTTCTCTTGTTGCAGAGCACGGGCTCTAGGCACTCAGGCTTCAGTAGTTATGGCTCGCGGGCTCTAGAGTGCAGGCTCAGTAGTTGTGATGCACGGGCTTAGCTGCTCCGCAGCATATGGGATCTTCCCGGACCAGGGCTTGAACCCGTGTCCCCTGCATTGGCAGGTGGATTCTTAACCACTGCGCCACCAGGGAAGTTCCAAAAGTCCAGCTTTTAAGTAAGTATCAAGGGTACCTTTAATATGAACTTTGAATGCATTTATGAATGCATTTGGAAACTGCTATTGCAAACTTGCTTAGCATGCTTTGGGGAATAAAAAACAAAACACGGTGAACAGTAAAGTTTCTCTGTATTGATAGGATGTCCTGTAAAAAGAACTAATGATGCCTGCGAAAACAAGTCCTGTGCTTACACATATATTATTTCACTAAAGTCTTGAGAAGCAGGCAGGGCAGGGAGCATAGTCATCTCGATTTTACAGATAAGGCAACTGAAACTCAGAAATGTTAAAGTAACTTGCCCAGAGAAACCCAGTGACTAAGTAATTGCTAAGTGTTGAGTACTATACTAATTGCTTCATTACATTATCTTACTCAGTCCCTGCCACAAAACATATGAAATACGGTTTAATATCTATCTTCTTCTCACCTTAAAGAGGAGAAAAAATGAGACTCAAAGAGGCTAAACTGCTGACTCAGAAACAAGCAGAAATTGGAGAAGCTGTAATTTGAACTTTTCTACTCTGCCCTACTCTACTCCCCAGCCATTCCATTTCTTGAGAGGGCTCTTTATTGACACCTATGAGATATCAGGAAAGTTTGTCTCAGAAAGGGGGGACACTTTATCTCTGGGTGCTCTGTCACATTTGTGTGAACAGTGGCATCTGTAATTGGTCACAAGGGCCTCTTATGTTCCCTCAGGTAGAAAGTACCATGGCAAAAAAAAAGTCTAAATTAATCTTTGCACTTGTTCTTTGTGACCAAAGCTTACAAACCAATTAATTTTAATCAACACAAAATAGGGATTAATGAAATTGTTTTCATAACAGAACAGGATTTCAAAGTAATACAAAATACTTCCTATCTAATGGCAAATGTAGTTTACAAATTCCCCAAGGATAAATTTAGCACCTTCATGTTGCAGTCCCTAGATTTTCAAAAATGGTTTCTTCTGTGTAATTTTAAAGACTCAGAAGAGCAGAGTTTGAAATTCAGTTCTCCCATTTAGCAGTGAGGGTCACCTAGCCATTATATGGGCAAGCCATTTAATTTCTGAGTCTTTGCTTTAACCACACTAGTCTTAGTATTCAATATTTGTCAATGCAAATTTTGTGACTAATGAGACAATTCTGTAATCATTTAACAAAGCTACAAACAGCCAGTTTCTTCTCTTTAAGTGAGGAAGCAATTATGGTAGCCAATCTCAATTATTTTTACATGTCTGTATCTTCGCCATAAGCTTCTTTGCCTTAAATACCTTGCTGCAAACATTTTCGCTGCATAACCAAATGGCTGTAAGGAAATTTTGCTGTGAAAGATAAAATAACTGGTTGACAGTTTTGGGGTTGACAGTTTGGTTTCAACTGGTTAGTATATCCTCCAGTTAGTGATGTTATTGATGGCTTTATTGAGCTGACAGATGATTTGCCCCAAGAGTTGGTTTCTTACTTTGAAACACACTACTTTGGAGGAGAAAGAGGTCTCCAAGGTGCAAAGTTGAACCCACATTTCCCATAGAGCTTCGGAACATCTATCAGTGGACATCTGACTACATACCAAGAACGAACGATGGTATAGAGGCTTTCACAACGCAATACAGAGCTCAGTTACAAATATGCCTCCTAGTATTTGAAAACTGACACTTCTCTTAACAAAGGAAGAAGTTTTAGCAAAAAAGAAAAAGTGCAAAATGCTGAACGATGAGACAAATCAACAAGAAAAAAATTGTACAAAATACTATGAACAGAAGACTTGGAAGACAAGTGCTTAGGTACAATTCACAAAATAAAATCAGTTATTTGTGCAGTATTGTCATGAATCCACACACATTTTAAATGTATTCAAATGTCTTGTATTTTGCAATAAAGTCTTTTTAATTTTGTTATTCATTTTACTGTTTATGTCCTTTTTAATGTCCCTCTTTTATTTTTCATTATTTTATCTTTTACTGCAAAATTGCCTCACAGTCAATTGGTTATGTGGTGAAAATGCTTACAGCAAAGCTGTCTACAGCAAACATGCTTACGGTGAAAGTACCTACAACCTTATTTTCAATTTAGGAATCTTTCTCTTAGTGGTACTGAGGGACCTAAAAGAGTTCTGGAGGAATTATGACAGAGCATTTTTTCAAAAAGAATATAAAGTCAAGCCATGCAAAGACATGGGAGACTCTTAAGTGCATATTACTAAGTGAAAGAAGCCAATTTGAAAAGGCTATAAACTATATGATTCCAACTATATAACATTTTGGAAAAGGCAAAACCATGGGAATGACAAAAAGATGAGTTGACGCCAAGGATTAGCGGGGAGGCAGGGATGAATAGGCAGAGCACAGAGGATTTTTAGGACAGTAAAGCTATTCTGTATGGCACTGTAATGGTGAATACAAGTCATTATATTTTTGTCCAAACCTATAGAATGGAAAACGCCAAAGGCGATGGTAATGTAAACTATGGATTTTGAGTTATAATGATGTGTCAGTGTAGGTTCATCTATTCTAACAAATGTACCACTGTGACTCGGGACATTGACAGTGGGAGAGTTCTGCGCATATGTGGGGGCATGGGGTGTATGGGAACGCTCTGTACTTTCTGCTCAAATTTACTGTCAACCTAAAACTGCTCTAAAAAATAGTTTATTTTTTAAAAAGAATATATACCCATTTTTCATTAATATAAACTTCTGGATTCTATTCATGTTTATATCACTTTATATTGCACTATTTTGTAGCCCTTAAAAATTTCAACAAGGGATTTCCCTGGTGGCACAGTGGTTGGGAGTCCACCTGCCAATGTAGGGGACACGGGTTCGAGCCCTGGTCCAGGAAGATCCCACGTGCCAAGGAGCAACTAAGCCCATGCACCACAACTACTGAGCCTGCACTCTAGAGCCCGCGAGCCACAACTACTGAAGCCTGCACGCCTCGAGCCTGTGCTCTGCGGCAAGAGAAGCCACCACAATGAGAGGCCCGCACGCCGCAACGAAGAGTAGCCCCCGCTCGCCCCAACGAGAGAAAGTCCGCGCAGCAACGAAGACCCAATGCAGCCAAAAATAAATAAATAAATAAATAAATAAATAAATAAAAACACAATAGCCGATGCTTCTGGAGCACTTACTGCAGATCCAGCACTATTCTAAGCATCCTACATATATTAACTAATTTTCAATCCTCTCACCAACACTATGAATGAGGAACTATTATTACCATACGATTTTAACAGAAAACCGAGGCACAGAAATGTTGAGTGACTTGACTCAGGTTTCATAGCTGGTATGGTACAGCTGAGACTCAGACTCAAGCCACCTGAATTCAGAGTCAGCTCTCAACCTCAACGCCATGCACTTTCAGTTGTTCTTAGGGGTAGAAAACCAAGAACTGGTCTGTGGTGGCAGGGGGAATCTTACTCATTTTATGTGTAAAGCACACACACACACACACACACACACACACACACACACACACACATATATGTATATATGTATACATACAGTACAGAAACAGACATACAGTATATCTCTGGTATTAAAATTTCGTGGAGGGGCAACTAGGAAAATTGGCTAAAAAGGTACCAGGGTCAGGGGCCAGGGGAGATCATGAAAAGAAGACTGAGAAACATGGCTCTGTACTTTACAGCCTCTCTTCTTTTAGCATGGGGGAAGACTGGCCCTGTTTTACTAAGTAAAAATTATCTGTCACTCATTATTTCATTCAATACATATGAATTATGTGCTTATTATATGTCAGGTACTAGGTATAAAATGATGAACAAGACTTTAAAGTACCCTACCTTTAGGGAACTACCAGTCTGTCAGCTAAACAGGCAAATTCAATACAATATGCTAAGTACTCTGATAGGAATAATGATGGGATGCTACTTTATCCAGACTTGAGGGATGGGGAAGTTTCAAACGGTTTCTTAGAAGAGATGATGTCTCAGCTGGATCCTAATGGAACAGTAGGGATTTATCAGGCCCCAGTGAGACAGTGGAGACGAAGTGGGAGAGGAAGGGCACCCCAGACAGAGATACCAGCATGTGAAAAGACTCAAGGTCATAAGAAACCAAGCTGGGTATGAGATGGACAATAAAGAAGCAGAAAGAATTTGGGGGAAGGAATAAAAAGATGAGGCTCAAGTAAGCAACTGCCAGGTCAAAAGGACCTCATAAAGCGTGCCAAGAAATTTGGACTTTACCCTGAAGGAAACAGTGGGCCAGCAAAAGGTTTTATGTAGGAGAATAACATGACCAGAATCGTGTTTCAGGATTCCTTGGGCTACAATGTAGAGGACAGGTTACAGAGTTGAGAGGCAGGAAGAGGAGCTGGGATTGCTACAAGAATAACTTACACCAAAAGGTTCGTTTTTGAGATTTCCCTGGTGGTCCAATGTGTAAGACTCTGTGCTCCCAATGCAGGGAGCCCAGGTACAATCCCTGGTCAGGGAACTAGATCCCACATGCCTCAACTAAGAGTTCGCATGCTGCAACTGAAAGATCTCGCACGTTGCAAGGAAGATCCGGCACGCAGCAATGAAGATCCCACATGCCCCAATGCAGCCAAATAAATAAATATTAAAAAAAAAAGTTCTTTTCCATACCTGGCCTCAGGGTGACAGTTACCATATTCTACAGTTTTCAACTGCCTAAATAGTTATGTTTCTGCCTATTTTGCTCCACACTCACTACCATCAATAACCAAGGTTAAGAAAGCATTCTGGGATTTGTAGGTGTGGTACCCTCTTTTGTGTCACAAAAATACAAAAATGAAAATAAACATTCCAAAGTATTAAATAAGTTGACAGACTGTCTCCCCAAGAAGTAAATTACTCACAGTGCCTTCAATCTCTGAATAGAGTCCTGACCAGAAGCTGAAAGTACTTTTATCCAGCTGATACAGTCGAGATTTCTCAAATGTTTCTGAATCCATGATCTGTCCTAACTCCAGTGGTACATGAGTTGTTGTTTTATATATCCGTCTCTGAAATATTTTGAAGAAAACACCTTAAGGAAACAGTCAAGCTAACTCATTACTTATTACAATAGTCATTTACGATCAAACTTTGGTTTATAACATTAACTTGTCACTTAAGCCTGTTGAATTTGCTTTATACATACACAAATACTGCATCTGATAAAGTACACTGACCACTAAAACAACTCGTGCAGGAAAGTAAAAGCATGAGAGAACCTGCAACTAGTTGACTACGTGAAATTAAAATCAAAGCTGTCACACACTTCGGTTTGCAGAGGTAAACCAAAATTGTAACATTACAGAGAGTACTACTCATTCCAGGTATAGCATACATCCTAAAATATAGAAAATAAATTCATGGACAGAAGGAAGTAAATATGCTAATCATGAGTTTTAACAGATAATGTGGCTAGTCATTAAATTTGATTCTAGAAGACAAGGGAAATTTGAGGAATGACAGAAACAGATCAGGTCTTCAAGAAAGACAAACTTTCTCGTTATACCAAATTCTAGAAAGTAATTTCAGCCCATAGTACATAATACAGAGAACAGATACCAAACAATATAATGGACAGCATTTTCTACAATGATTTTACAATAAATCTCTATTCTCTATTTATTATTGGATACCTTACCAAACCCTTGATAAAGGGCATTACATGAAAGCATAACTGAAGAAAGAAGACATTACTGAAAAGTAGTTACTGTAACTAGGCTTATTATTAAAGTAAGACAAGTAGGTAGATGTTCAATACCCCATCTCCAATTTAGACAGTACATACTGTGTGCTTACTTTCTGCAAAGGATCTTTTCTAGGCCTACAGCATTCTGTACTAATGAAGCTATCTTAAGAACTAGTCAGAGAACCTAGTGCTATACAGCTTAACACGTCTTTGAATATCCTGGACTAAAAAAAGAAATCTAGATATAACTCAGACAATGACAGATATAGAAAAATTTTTAATTTTCAATTTAAAGATTCATACAGAATGTAATCTGAGAGGAGAAATTTGCAGAGGAAAAAGACTGTAGTGCTCAAGGAAAAGGTTCCAGCAGTTAAAAAAAGAAAGGTTTTCCTAACCATTATAGTTGACTTGATTCAGTGCCAACACAGAAGAAAACCAGCAGTGAAAGACTGCCATAAAGTGGTCAATTAAACTTCAAATCTATCTCATTTAAAAGTTCAGATCTCAGAAATTCCCTGGTGGTGCAGTGTTTAGGACTCCGAGCTTCTACTGCCCGCCAGGGTGGGAGAACTAAGATCTCGCAGGCCACATGGTGCGGCCAATAAATAAATAAAGTTCATATCTCTAATCCATCAAACTGTTAATCGTGATTATCACCAGGGAACTGTTATTAAGTAACTTTCACTTTCTACTTTACTGTTTAATTGTTTGAATAAAAACAATAAAGAAGCTTTTAAGAAAATGTTCTTTGGGCAAAAACAACAATATACACTTTTTTTTCTTTCTTTTTTATTTTTTAAAGGGAAAAGAGTTCAGGTCTTTGGAAGGACTGAGAAATCTTCATTTTCAGAAAATGGCTTCCCAGTGCTGTGGTTGAGCATGACACAAATTCATGGAGAAGTTGTGATTATAAAATTTTAGTATCTTCTTTATGAAGGTTTATGAGTTGCTGCCAAAAATAAAGGAAGTAAGTCTGGGCCCGAGAATCCTTAGGAAGCTGTGGGGCAGGTACAAGAGCTCAGGCCTGAAAAGGCGGCAGCCCTGCCTTCCCTTTCACCAGACCCTAAGCGGCCTGGGGCCCATGATCACGTTGCGGAAAACGTCCTGAAGCACCAGATCCCCTCAAGGCCTACCCCATCATCGGGCCAAGTTAGGAGGCTCAGTAGGGACCCATATGGTCAAGGCCGGTGCTGGGGCCGCAGCAATCATCCAGGGACTTGGAGTCGAGACCGAGGCTGGCCTAGAGCTGGCCGGGTGTCGGGGTCAGGTGGGCCCTGTCTAGGCTCACCTGCCGCCGTGCTAGGAAGGTCTCCCAAAGATACACTGTCCAGGAGAAGAGCAACACGGCCCCGAAGATACGCTTCTCGGCCGACATCTCCCACATCGCGTCCAGCGACGCCAACATCCCCATGACCACCCCGTTCCGCCGGCTCCTTCAGCGAGCACTGGTGCCACACCGACACCCGTCCCCTCAGAGCATCCCCCACAGTGTCACAGCGATATCCGTCCCTCCCGAGAGCTCCTATACCGACACCCGTCCCATCCCACGCCCTCTGCTCAGCCCGCGGCGTTACACAGACACTCTTCCCCCGGCTGACGCTCCCTAGGGCCGCCTAGTGTCTGCAGGAACAGGGTAAGCTCCGCCTTCCTCACTTCCGGCCCGCAGTCCGAGTTCCGACCTCCGCCAGCTGTTGCTCCCGTGAGTTACGTTGCACCGACATTCTTTCCCCTCCCCTCCACGGCGTGTTCCTGCCGACGGTACGGCTTCCCTCCTGGGCCTGGCAGAGCCGCGGACTCTCCGCTTTCTAGCCTCCCGAGTGGCAATTTCTTCTCTTCGTTCCGAGGCTTGCCCTGGCTGGGCTGCAGCCTGCGTCGTTCTTTCCGCGGTCAGGACCACTGGTCTTCGGGCTAAGCGGGAACAGACAGAGTGGGCCGCCGCTCCGGCCCTGAGGTCGCTGGGAAGAACAGCAGAGGAGCCGGCTTCCCAGGCTCTAGAAATCATTCCTCTGAACTGGTGCTTCTCGGACTGTGGTGTGTTCATCCCTGGGATACCTTAAGACTAAAGTTAAGAGCGGGACTAGGCATTATAAGTGTGTTTTAGCCTATATTGGGCTGTTCTGAATTCAGGCATATTAGAAAGTGGGTAATGAGTTTTGTTTTTATTTTGAACCCCTCGTGCAGCTTGCAGATCTTATTTCCCCCACCAGGGATTGAACCCGGGGCCGCGGTAGTGAAAGCCCAGAGTCCTAACCACTGGACCGCCAGGGAAGTCCCGTAGGCAACATTTTTTGTTTACTGAAATGGCAGGCAGCATTTTTTTTTTGTCCACAAAACCAAAGAATTGATTAATATTCTAACAAAACTACAAGTGTTATCACATTAATGTGAGGAATATTTCTCGGCACCGTATCTACTAAAACAAAAAAATAAAATTGAAAGTGGACCCTGCTTATCTAACAGTAAGAAATAGTCATTCAGATACATGAATTAATTGGTGGAGAAGCCCCATCTATTTCACTGAGAGATGCATTTCCAGTAGAATTTTACCTTTTATGTTTATTATCGAATTTGTAATCGTGTCAAAAGAGCAGCTACATGTTAAAGGTAATTGTAAAATTACTCAGTTCAGAAGAATTCTTTCTAATATGTAGAGCCATACAATTACAGGAAAAAAATTTAAATTTTACTTTAATACATACATATTTTTATTGCAAAGATGTGATCTATAAAATGTTTTTCAAACATAAAAATTGTTACATTTGGATAACATTTTATGGGGAAGTGGAACATAAATATAAGTTATAAAGGAACAGTGTAGAATTATCGAATGTTAAAGAGCTCATTCATGTACTTTTAAATGGGTGATGGTTATTCAATTGTTATGTAGATTCTGTTGGACACACTATGAAGAAAGACTTAACAGTTTTATCTTAAATTGTCATTATTTACAATTTGCCAGAATTTACATCCATTGCAGCTATTTCAATTTATGATGAAAACTTTTAGATATCAACTTAAAAATATGAGGGGATAAACATTTTTTCAGAATGCTCACTTGGACTATCACTGCTATGTCCTCTTCAGTCTTGTCTTCTCCTGTCTGGGTCCACCCAGCCTGCTGCAGTTAGTCCAAATCCTCACAAAGCCCCTGCCACCCAAACTGTGTGGCTAAGGGCACAGGTTTAGAGTCATTGTTTACGTTCTAGTCACAGCTGCACCACATATTAACAGCTTAACCCCTCTGTGCATCACTTCCTCATCAGTAAAATGAGAATAATAGTATTTACCCCCTCACACTGTGAGGATCAAATGAGAAAAATCATATAAAACTCTTAGTCGTGTCTGGCTCTGAATAAGTGTCCAATAAGGATTAGCTGCTAGCTTACCATACTTGGGAGAATTGCACCATAGTTGATCTGTCACCATGTGTCTGAGGAGATAAGGGATCAGGAAGCTGGTATGAGGTTTCTACAAGTCAAAACTGGAATTCACTCATTTATTCAACAAATACTGTGTGTCTGCTAAGTACCAGACAGGGTTCTAGGTGCTGGGGATATAGCAGTGAACCAAAGCCCCTTCCTCTCCTGAAACTTAACAGTGGGCTAGGGTGGATGAGGAGTTGACAGATAAGAAGCATATATGTAACAGTAAAAGCAGAGGAGGTGATAAGTGCTATGAAGAAAAAGCAGGGAAA